TTTGTGACGTCACGGTGCGGTATCGGCTGTTGATCAAGTATGTGTTTTTTCTCTGGCCAGAAGTTCGGTGGCAAATCCTCCCTCTTCCAATCCAACGACCAGGACTGCAGTAACCCGTGTTACTATATTTGTGCAAAAATGGGCGCATCCAGACTCAGTGATCCTGACGAAAATTACTGATTTCCTGTTTAATGCTAAATTCATTCAATCCCCGTAAATGTATTTGTTTCTAGGTATAGATAATGATCCATTGATTATTCCTTGCTGACCGGAGTTTACTTTTAAGGCTCTGAATTAAGGGACCATTGGTCTGCACCAGTGTCATGTGTTGAAGGATGCAGCAGACAATGAATATCCATTCTTTCAAGATCAGTGTTCAGTCTACCATGTACAAAAATTTCACCTGATCAGCTTGTGATTCCCATCAATATGCCACAAATTGTTGGGGGTGGCAACACTGTTCTGACGCTCCCCTGCAGTTTGGATGGATAATCTTCGAATCCAGATGGTCTCTAGATCAACTCGATGCACTGACACCCTTAATCAAAACCCAAGTGAACAATGACACATTCAGAGAATATGTGGGCTGCTCAGTACTCAGTGGTAGTACTGCTGCCTTGCAGCAACAAGGTTCTGGGTTCAATTACCGGCCTGTGGTCTTTCTGCATGGAGTTTGCATGTTCTCCCTGAGCATGCGTGGGTTCTCTCTGGCTTCCTCCCACAGTACAAAAATATGACTGTTAGGTTAAAATGGCTTCTCTAAAGTCCCCTATTGTCTCTGTGTTGACCTGTCCAGGGTGTACCCTGCCTCTCACCAGTCGACGGCTGGAGATAGGCACCAGCACCCCTTGTGACCCCATTTGGGATAAGTGTGTTAGAAGATGGATGGATGGATGTACAGTATGTCTAAGATAAGCTGTAAAGAAAACAGTAGATGTAGATTATTGAATTAATAGCAGTAACAAGTCCTGTTTGGCCCAAAATGTATCAATAAATAGAGCTAAAACATACACAAACAAATGATGTAATGAATTTGGTTTCCAATTAGATTCGGTTCGTTGAGGTGAATGATGCAATAGTCTTACTTTGAATACTTAAGCCCCTGGATCGGATATGACTTGGCGTGAGTTTGAAGCCAACATTCATCATTAATAGTCAAGTAAAGGTCTGATTTTCTGTTAGAGAAGCATTGAAATGTTATATTGTATTTTAAATTGAGGAAAATACCAAACATTCACTAACGTATTGAAGGGTTATAAAACGCTAAGAACTTGAACAAACAGTCATTAGTTTTATTGGTAAAACACCAAACAACAACCAAAACAATCTTGAAGCACCATATTGAGTAAAATGTTCTTAAATTAAACTCAGATTGGCTCATCACATTAATTAGTCCAAGCCAATCAGTAAGACCAAAGGAAGCATTAGAACAGAAGACCGTCTCTCAGGAAACATTCATTCCTGTTTGCAGAGTCATAAACTTCTTATAACTCATTTGGCTATGAGCAGGATAGTATTAGAATTCACTTGAAACAACACATTACAGCCTATGATGCTGTTGCGCAGCTCTAGATTATTACAGAGAGTACAGTTTCAAGGCAAGTTTGAGCTAAATAAGGGACATTATTATTATTTTGATACATTCTGATGGAAAACAAAAGTCTTAACTAGATGTTCTGATATTACTCAGATATATTTTTTTACCAGGTCAACCTGCTTCTTACCTTCAACATGCAAACTGACAGTTGACTGCAGGTTCCACAGTTTTCATCATCAGCTACAATCCTTATATAGGTTCTGCTTCTGAAAGGATATTGAATGAGAGATCTGATCCCGTTATTATCTAGGACAATAGAAAAACATTTTACATGCCGGAGCTCTGGAAGAAAGACCAAGTTTAGCAGACTTAATATGATGAATCAATTAAGGTCACCGACTAAGGAGGTTGTGTTAACAGTGCAGAGATATATTTGTATAGGTGGAAGAAAAAACTGGTCAGGATTTTAAGAGTTTTATAGAGACTTTTACAGAAACAAGTAACCCGCAGCAGAGCGTCCAGTGATGCTTTGTCTTATAGAAAAGAGGCTAAATGCTTATGTTAGCAGGTAAACCCTTAAACAGAGACTAAAGAGAGTTCAATGCAGTGAGGAATGGTCTGATCTTTATATTGGAGAAACCAAACAACTTCTCCACAGGCACCTGGCCAAACACAGCAGAGCCACCTCCTCCTTTGGAAAAGACTCTAAAGTACATCTACACCGGCTGCAGTACCCCAAGCTGAGATATCCCAGTTTCTGTCTCTTTGTTTTAATAAAAATAAAATAAACTTTCAAACTTTGACAATCTCTCTGTGAATGTGTGCAAAAAGTATTAGACCCGTCATGACAGAACACTCTGGCCAAACAGAAGGCCCAGCAAAAACAATCCAGAGAGCCCTTCAAACTTCAAGACAGAAGCATGAGAACGCACTCTGGGTAACCAACAAGCCGAAACAAACAGAAGCTTAGCGGATCTAACTGATTTTCTCCGTACTCATTTTCAACAGTCCTCCAATCCAGTCAGTGAAACTTCGCAGCTTTCAGCTCCTCAATCTCCAGTCCTGACCACGTATTCCAAATGCCAGCTGCCCAATCCACCCAGGTTTGATGGTGATCCTAAGAAATGCCGGGGGTTTTTAATGCAATGCACCATTCAGTTTAATCATTCTCCCAGTAAGTTTGTCCAAGACTCCTCTAAGATCCGCATTCAAGCTGCTGCTTCAGGGTGGAACAGTGCTGCACTTAAATGTGCTTTTTCAAATCTTTTAAATGATTCCATCAAGGACAAACTAGCCACCTTAGATGAACCCGAAACTTTGGAGGACCTTATTAATCTGTCTATTCGACTGGATAATAGAATTTGAGCCTGCGCTGTGAAAAGAAGTAACATAAATCCTAAACCCAGATCACTCTCTCCAGCCCCACAAGTCCAGCTGAGTCCTGAACCCATGCATGTTGGTCACACTAGGTTGACTCAAAAGGAGAGACAGCACAGAATGCGTTCTAAGCTGTCTCTACTGTGACCAGAAAGCAGCTACAAAGGTTTCTCGGGTTTGCTAACTTCTATCAGCGATATATTCGCAAATACAGCCAGACAGCTCAACCCTTAGCAGCCTTAACCTCCACCAAGATCCCCTTCATCTGGACCCCAGAAGCTGATGCTGCATACACCCAGTTAAAGAACCTTTTTGCTAATGCACCTGTTCTCATCCAACCAGATACCACCAAACAGTTCATTTTAGAGGTGGACACTTCAGACTCAGGAGTAGGACCAGTTCTCTCCCAGATGTCTGACCTTGATCACAAGATTCATCCGTGTGGTTGTTTTTCTCGCAGACTGTCCCCAGCAGAGAGAAATTATGATGTTGGGGACCAAGAGCTGCTTGCCATCAAACTAGCCCTAGGGGGGTGGAGACATTGGCTAGAGGGTGATGAACATCCTGTGGTGGTCCCGATGGATCATAAGGATTTATCTTACCATCAGTCTGCTAAGAGGCTTAACCCTTGTCAATCAATCTCTCGATTTAACCTATCCATTTCTTTTCGCCCAGGATCCAGAAACGTTAAGCCAGATTCTTCCACTCTGCAGAATCTTTTAGTTCAACCTTCTGCTTTCTCTGCTTTTTCTCATAGTAGCTTCATCTGGTCTGTTCCTGTTTGGCTGTGACTCCATCCTGGAGAGAAATATCAGCTGTGCTGCTACCATCAACACCTTTGTTTATAGATGCTGGAAATAAGCCTGTTTTCCAGTGTAGTCCTGTTTCTCTGACTGTGACTAACTGGATGTGCTCTCTTCATCCTCTGGCATGGGAGCTGGCTTGGAGCTCGTCTGCCTGGCTGTATGTTTCCTGGACCAGGCCGCCTTTTACAGCTGCTTTTTGTATCTCTGCTTCTGTCTCCTTGAACCCAATGTTTCTGCTGGAGGTTTCTTCATGTTAAAAGGGAGTTTTTCCTCACCACTGTCGCTACCAGCATGCTTAGTGTGAGGGATTGCATTTGAGTCGATGCAATCAACTGGTTTTCCTTAGATAGAAAACTTTGAATCAATTTGACTATATGATCTGGTTGAACTGTAAAGTGCCTTGAGATGACTTGAGCTGTGAATTGGCGCTATATAAATAAACTGAATTGAATTGAATTCAGTTCATTTATATAGCCCCAATTCACATCATCTCATCTCAATCACATTACAGAGACAATTGAACCAGATCATCCAGTCAGATTGGTTCAAAGTTCTCCATTTAAGGAAAATGGGCTTGCATAAAATCATTGATTGGACAGCAATCCCTCACACTAAGCATGCTTGTAGCGACAGTGGAGAGGAAACTCCCTTTAAACAGGAAGAAATCTCCACCAGTTCCAGGCTCAGTGTGAGTCTGCTGAGGCTGATTGGGGTTCAAGGAGACAGAAGAAGTCATACAGAAAGAGGCAGAGATACAAAAGGCAAATTTCAACCAGCTCCACAGGCAGACCCGTGACAGGAAACACACAGCCAGGCAGATGTGCTCCAAGCCGGCTCCCAGCTATGAGCTGAATTACCAGAACCTCATGCACTATGCATGTGCAAACAAGTGAGTTCTTCATCTTCTTCCAGATTAATGAGTCCGACCAGTGCCATCTATCAGCACTGTATACAGGCCAATATTAGAGAATTTACGGTAACTAGGTTTAATAGGAATGTTAATTCATCAGTTTAAGAATAAGCACAAGACCAGACCTTCCCAGTGACCAAAACTGACAGACAAGATGAGAGCTGTTAATGCCTGTTATAGGCTGCCTTAAACTGGAACAACTGGGCCTTCTGACATCATCAGCAGGCAACGTAGGTGAAGTGTTGAGCTAATGGACACAACTTTGAAAGCCAGAACCAATTAGCCTCCAGTTGCAGGGCAAACTCCTGCATCTGACACCACTGTTGCAACAGTGTATAATTTTTAGTGATATCTTATGGTCCAAATGCAGCACCATGAACTCCTCCCCCAACTGCTTCCAGCGCTCCAACAATACGGAGGCCGTCATTGTACAAATGGGCTTCCGCAATGTCAGCTTTATTTCCACAAGTGATGAAAAGGTTTGTTTACATTATATCTTAGGATTAATTCCATAAATTCTTCATTAATGTTGTCTAATGTGCATTGACATTGTATTATCAAGTATAAAGATTATGAGATGAAAAAGTCGAACTTTTTAAGTGAAAAACGCATCAGAGACAAGCTTTTTTTTTATCAAAGTGGAAGGTAGAGAATATATTATTGACAAAGGTGAAGGGGGAATGCTCCTTTCAAAAAAAGCTTGTTCCTAGCCACTAAGTTACTGTTTCCTTATCCTATACCCAGCACTTTGGGTGTCAAAGCAGTGTCAAGAGGTCCAGCGGCAGATTCATGCATCAGGAGAGGTGCATCCAAGCGGACTCTGCTTCTGATATCCGAGCATCAGAACATCAGAAAAGCTGATCAAGGAGTTATTTGGGGACACAGAGGGTGTGTACACTTTCAGTGGTCTACCTACACTTCGAGGACAATGAAATTAAGGAGTCTGGAAGAGTTTTAGCTATAGATTCAAACAAGTCCAGCCTACCCCCGGCTTTCACTGTTCGTAAGCTCTGTCGCCTAGCAACCGTAACAGTTAACATACAAAGCAGTCAAAAAATGGATACCAAACTTCTCACTAATGTTCTGGGTACTAATAACATTTTTAATGAGCTTCAGCAGCAGTAGACATCGGGAATATCACATTTATAGTCCCCACATTGCAGAAATATTAAAATTTGACCTTAAATGTCAGCAAAACCCATTTGCAAAGGGACATAAAAAAGCTTTCAATAAACCAAACATTACCAGCCACATATCTGACTCAATAACTATTTAAAACAAACATTTCATTAATTTCAGATGGAACTAGTCACATACTTGTATTATAAATAACTGAAATTCCAATATTCACCACTTCCCTTTTGCCTCTGAACACGAAGCAGCCAGCTTGCTTGGACTCGCAATGAATCATGGGATACCCAAGGCTATAGAGCAGAGGTCACGGATTGGTGAACCACGGTCCGGATCCAGACCCACCCGTAGGCTGATCCGGATCCAACCTGTTTTAAAATATTAATAAATTACTGCATGTTGTCTGACGACATTGTCTAATTTCACTTGCACCGCTTCTCCTGTTAATACGGTAAAGCCATCCGAAGCGTCCAGGACCAGGCTGCACGTCATTGATATTTGCCGATGAGCTGTCAGTCTGGTTGCTAGTTACTTTTAGACACAGCAGACAAACCTGGCAAGCCAGGCGATGGGAAAGAAGGAGAAGACAATGAGAAAAAGAGAACAGAGAAAGTGTGGACTGCTGGAAGAACTGCGGTGAAAGAAAAGTGAAAGATGACCCTGCACATTTTAGTATGCTTGGTTAAACTTACTCCTGTGAATCAGGATTCTCCACCATGAACAGAATCATAAATACACATGGATCTGGGCTCAAAACCAGCACTTTGATATGTGCTTGAGAATGGCTTAGTCTCCATTCAAACCTAGGTTTAAAGCCTTGCAGGGCAGCCTAAAGCCCACTGCCAACGTTAAGACAGAAAAAAGAAAGAAAAAAAAAACTAAACAGACATTCAGTTCAGGTGTTTTATAAAAGATGTGAATCAGGAAATTGTCTATATACCAAACTGATGAATCATTGTTGTTCTTTAATTCAAAAATCACTTAAGATTTTAAAATTTAATTTTTTTGTTTTTTTAATTAAAAATTCAATGTATAACACGAATGCATAAACACCTAATTTTATTTCAGTTTTAAATTCTATTTAAAGTAACAGATTATAATTCAAAATTTTTCCAGACCTTTACTGGTTGATGATTTTCTTTATTCCGACCCCGCTGATTTTTATATAAGGTTACCAGAGGCGTGCACAGACATTTTGGGGGGCAGGTGCTCAGGAGAGGGGGGGGGGGGGTTGGGGCACTTTTTAGCGCACGTGGAACACTTAATTATAAAAAAAAAAATACACGCATGTTGAATGAAATTTGACTTTTATTTGTAACATTCTCTAAACGTGAGTTTTCAATGAAAAAAAGTCACATCACCAACAGAACAGACTAAAGCTCATCTTTCTTTTTCTTTCATCTGGCTCATCTCCCCGTTTTCCCTCATCCTGCTGTTTTCCCTCATCCTGGTCTTTTTCTGTCTCTGTGTCTTCCCTGAACTCTTCCTCATCTCCTGTCCTGGTAGATGTTGATGGTATAGAGCTTCCCTGCTGTGACTGGCTACAATATATTAATAATAACCATCATGACAATAATAATGATAATAATAATAATAATAATAATAATAATTAATAATAATAATAATAATAATAATAATAACAGCTTTAACAAATATGCCAGATTAGTTTAAATAATGGGCTATTAGGGCAACATGACTGGAAGTTTTGTCACGTGGATATGACTTATGGCAGCCTACAGAATAATAGCTATTTTAATACCTGCTTCACAAACCACTTAAAAATAAAATGTGAACAGCTTCTAAGATTTTTCAATACGATTAACCCTCCTTTCTTGGCATTGTACTGCAATTACTAAATCAATATACAATTAAGACAATAAAGAGACCAAAATGTGTTAATTTATGTTGCCTAACAAAACCTATACAACAGAATTATGAGAAAAAAGTCAAAATTCTGAGAAAAAAGTCAGAATTTTGACTTTTTTCCCATGTTAAACTGAAATAAAATAAAAAAATCAGTTAACTTATTTTTTTTTTTTTCAGTGGCCCTAATCCTCTTCTGTAGATTTGCAATTGCAAACTCTACCAAAATTATTTGTAGCCTATGTGGTCGTCCTCACGTTATCTGTCATTGACTTGGGCTACAGTGTAAAACTTTCAGAATCAGAATCAGGTTTATTGCCATTGTTAGTGAAGGAGTTCACAAACTAGGAATTTTTTGTGGTACAATCGTACAACATAAAACATATAATATGGAATAGGTAAATAAAATTATAAAAATATCTAAAAACTGTGGGTATACGTCATGCAATAAAATAGACTAATATATACACTTAAGATAAAAATATGGATATAAAATATAAAAAGTAAAATAGCATCTTACAAGGAGACGACTAGTTTATCTGGTGACCAGTTGGCAAAATGCTTGTTTGGTGCTGCTGAATGAGACATTTTAATGCACAACAAAATGATTTTGCTTGATCTGTATATTACCTGGCTAATGGGGCACGGGAGAAGCAGCCTGTCAGCGACCGTTCCTGCTATCTGAAAACTGCTATGATGCTGCGCATCTGGCATGCCCTGCGGGCGACCGCGCGAGTTCACGTGACAAAGGAAGTGAGAGAGTGTCGTTTGTGCGCAAGTAGGTGGCTCATTTCGGGGCATTGTTTCAGTCGTTTTTAATGGCTCAGGTTTTCAAAAGATCATTTCAAAACCGACCTCAGTAAAATCTTATTAATATTAATAATAATAATTAAAAAAACGAGTTTCAAAAGGGCATTTTCTTTGATAAAGGGCAAACTTCCTAGTGCTTTAGCACCACCTAGTGTCTATGGATGCACGCCCCTGAAGGTTACCCCGATTTGGAGTATCCAATGGACTCGTCCTTCAAAATGGGCAAAAAGAGACAAACATTTGTCTGTTTTGCCAGATAACAAGTAGTCTTCTAATCCGAACAGGTTACGCCACTTTGATGGCACTATGACGTAATCAGCCAACGAATCTGGCCTTCGGAGGACACAGCCGCTGGATTCAAACTCAGCAAGAGACTACATGCAAGCTGTTACCGCCTCTGTAGACTGTCTGCATATAAACAAAAATATATAAAAAATCTTTTTTTCTGCTCTCATTCTTTATCTCTCTTCTCAATAGTTGCAATATTTACTTAATGTCATCTTATTCCACATCATTTGTAGTAAGAGTTTATTTCCTTTTTGTCGCACCAGAGAAAAATTATTTTTTCTAATCTCGTCTGAAGTTTGTGATTGTGTTTTGTGCACCATCTTCAGAAAGATAGAAACTCATAAAAGAAGCCAGCATGTCACACCCTCGAGCAAGAGAATTTGATCCCATCAGCTGTCTAAGAGAGGCAACTACGGTTAAAAAGAAAAAGCTCATTATACATGTCAGGGGCTTTTAAAGACATGTATGGAAAATAATGAATTATAATATTTACCTTTTTAAACTTGTGCTATGCCCCTTTAAAGTAATTTTTCACACCTGTGAAGAGTTGATGTCAAATTTGCTGTAAAATATCAAATAGGGGCACAGCTCCAACACAGCATGAACAAAAGATGGAAAAGGGAATATTTGATTAGATGAGTGGGAGCATTTGATGAACATAGTTGAGAAAAGGTGAAGTGTGTAGGTGGATAGTTAAAACCTGACATTTGAGTGTTTTGTGGCCAGCTGAGAGTGATCAGAATCTCTTTGACCCACTTGTTAAGTGTATGCGGAGGTTGAGGAAGGAAAGTAGAGGTCAAACAACTATAGTGGATATAAGAGATGTTCCAATTCCCTCATAAGAACAGATATTACAAACATTTTGAAATTACACCTTTGTTGTAATAGAGTGGTAAGGAGCAAAGTGTTGCTAGATTAACAGAAAGAGATACAGGGAAATTTGACCCAATCTGACTATAACCTGATTGAATTGTCTTTGAAACTTACCTTGGTGCTAAAGATCAATTGAATTTAAATTTTACATCTTTGGGCACTTAAATCTCTTTTATAGCCCATTTTGCCCAAGAAAAAGTAGCTTCCTAATAGTAATTTACACCTTGATTCAGGCTGAACAGGCATGACAGCCTGGTGTGCATTAGTGTAATGAAGGAGGTTAACTCCTTCATTACACAAATACACACCAGCTGATTTGCCTTTGTCCAATACCTATTTAATTCTCTATGGCATGTAGTTAAAAAATGTGCAAAAAAAATCACGATCAACAGTCAAAGATACAACTTGACTAAAAATTGTGAAGACAACATATTTGTGAAATCTCAGATACTGTTTTATTTCATTTTTGAAAAAAACAAACAAAAAAAAAAACAAGTAAAAACAAGGTTTTTGTCATTTTTTCAGATTTATATTAAATAAATTAATAAAGAACAGAATTCTAAACAAATAGATCAACAACAAATAGCATTTCATGATCTCATACGTTAAGTAGTGGAAAGTAAAAAAAATACATTTACTTGATTACTGTACTTAAAGGGATAGTTCGGTATTTTTGACATGAATCTGTATGGCATCCCCATCACCAGTGTCATGCAATCACACTGACTTACCCCTGGCAGCATCCTGTGAGCAGAGTTCTCGTCCAGCTTTGGTCAAGCCGAAAGTAGTCCGGCAGGTTTGCTAGAGCCAGCGAAATAAAACGTTTCTCTTCCCAAAACATTATGTGTTCAAAAGAGTGATATTTTTGCATCCCAAAAACGTTGTAGTGGAAAAAGTCACACGTCGTTATCACTTGGTCCTATTTTCTCTCTGTTCGTATCAGTGCGCGCCGTCATTCAGACAGCTAGGGCCTACTAACCTGACAACAGCCAGATGCATGTCTCCCTCCGCCCAGCTAGGAGCTAGGCGGAGGGAGACATGCATCTGGCTGTTGTTGAGCTCGCTGTCTGAATGACGGCGCGCACTGATACGAACAGAGAGAAAATAGGACCAAGTGATAACGACGTGTGACTTTTTCCACTACAACGTTTTTGGGATGCAAAAATATCACTCTTTTGAACACATAATGTTTTGGGAAGAGAAACGTTTTATTTCGCTGGCTCTAGCAAACCTGCCGGACTACTTTCGGCTTGACCAAAACTGGACGAGAACTCTGCTCACAGGACGCTGCCAGGGGTAAGTCAGTGTGATTGCATGACACTGGTGATGGCGATGCCATATAGATTCATGTCAAAAATACCGAACTATCCCTTTAAGTACTTATTTTGAGCATGGGGAGTTAATGGAGAAGTCTGCAGTTTAGAGGGTGAAGATGAACAGTGCTAACATTGTTCCCTGTGGGACCCCAGTGCTGCTGAGACACATCCCTGTGTCCTACACACTGAGGACGGCCAGTGAGATAGTCCAGAATCCACAGGAGTATATACTTGATTTTAAAAGATTTCAAAAAGGTGAATCCCTCGTAAATGACTGAATGTAGCATAGAGCTCTTTGATGTTTTTTGGACTTAAAAAATACTATACAGGTACAGGCCGTTTACTAACTTTTTAATTTAAGTTTCTACCTCAGAGTCCATTGGATTTCCAACCTTCTCAAAAGAAATACTGATAGAGTCTTTTTTTATACAGATCAAATGCAGCCTCACAGCCACAGGAAACATTTTCCAATGTCTAATTAAGAACGTCTGTAACTGCCGCAGTTGGAGTAGGAGATATACCAATGGCCAGAATAACTGACATTATTTTCCTCACAGAAGAAAAATTATAAATGTTTTTTTTTATGATTTCTCACCAAGTCGTTTTTTAAGCAGCTGATTACTTTGTGTGGGCCATGACACAGCAGAATGGTCAATTCACTCTTACACCTTTATGGATCAATTCTCTTTTATAAACGCAAACTGTACCATGTAGCTTCTATCGGTACAGTGTGAAACTAAAGCCATAGAGAACTTTGCTTTCAAAGGATTTGATTTCATTAATGACTCTCTGCTGGTGCTAGAGGTTTGTCTAACAAATTTATGACAGACCTCTGGCACTCAGCGATGGATCAGGATACATCAGACACGTTTGGAGAGCTGAAGATCATGCAGTGTGAGAGTTTAAAGGTGTAGTAACTGTGGAGTTTAAGTGTAATACATACATGCCCACTAGGAAGCGCTGTTACTTGTTGGTATTGTTATGGACCGTAGAAGAAGAGTGCGGGCAGTAGAAAAGAGAGTAGAAAAGAAAAGTCCGTGTGAAGCTGTATGCTGTTCATGTTATAAAAATAAACCACCTTCCTGTGGAATAAGAAGTCTCTTGTAATTTACCACATAAATGGCGACGAGGATAAAGTCAAGCCGAGGATAAAGGCACAGCGGATTCCTCGGCAGACAAATGAGCAAGCCTCTCGGCTAAATTGCAAAGTTTAAAAAAAAAGAAGAACGGACGTGTAAATCAACAGAGGACCATGGCGGCGGGCATGGTAGGAAGTACCGCTCCTTTTGATTCCCAAACCCAGACGTGGGAGGAATATTGTGAGGTGCTCCACCATTTTTTTGAAGCTAATGAGATCGATGATGCAGGTCGGCAGAAAGCTATTTTGCTCAGTGCAGTGGGCAGTCAGACGTATAGCCTAATGAGAAATCTGGTAAGCCCCGCCAAGCCAGGAGACAAGACGTTCGATGAGCTGGTCAAGTTATTAAAGGACCATTTCAACCCAAAACCCAGTGAGATTGTGCAACGTTTCAAGTTTAATTCCAGAAACAGGAAAAATGGTGAAACAGTCATGGAATATGTTGCTGTCCTGAGGAAATTGGCGCAAGACTGCAATTAAGAAGATAAGTTGTCGGAGATGATACGGGACAGACTGGTCTGTGGCATCGGAGATGACCGCATTCAGCGCCGACTGTTGTCCGAACCAGATTTGAGCTTTGACAAGGCGTTGAAGTTAGCTCAGGCGATTGAAACAGCCAGCAAAGATGTAAAAGACTTACAATCTTTGGATTTTTCAGCATCACATGGGAGGACGCCGCAAGTGGTGCATAAAATTTCATCAAAACAGACCCCAAGTCGGCAGCAGCTCCAGCATAAAGGTTGCTACAGATGTGGAGGTGAGCACCATACAGCGGGTGAATGTAGGTTTATTAAAGAAACCTGTCACAAATGTGGGAAAAATTGGCCACATTAAGAAAGTATGTAGGTCCAAAGGCCCAGGTGGTCAGTCGAAGACTAGAGGGGGTGGTGGGCAGACAAGTAGACAGGGGAGAACGCAGGGAGCCCATTACGTCAGCCAGAGGGAGGACGACAAAGAGAGCATGGATGCAGAGGAAGTCATGTTCACATTGTACAAAATAGATGAACTTGACGTACCAGCGGTAGCTCCATTCATAGAGACACTAACAGTTAATGAGACGGACGCTCAGTTCGAAGTGGACTCAGGATGCGGAGTAACAGTAATGAACCACTCCGTATTCAATACCTTGAGAGGGAAAGAGGCACCAAAGCTACACCCATGTAAAGTGCAACTCAAAACCTACACTGGTCATAGAGTAAAAGTTGTGGGAGCAGCACTAGTTAAGGTGCATCATAAGGGACGAGTGCATGACTTACCGGTAGTAGTCGTAGCAGGGTCAGGCCCCAGTCTGATTGGCCGTTATTGGATTCAAAAGTTAGGCCTACAGTGGAGATCAACCCCCCAAGTCCACCACATCCTGGAGGGGAACCCAGTAGAGGTACAGGGGAGTCCAGAAACCAAAATCCACCATGTTAGAAAGGAAACTTTAGAGGAGGTTTTGGGAAAATACGGGGAGGTGTTTAATAAAGAACTAGGGAAATTTAAAGGCCCCCCAGCAAAAATATACATAGACAAGGAAGCAGTCCCCAGATTTTTTAAAGCTAGGCCTGTTCCTTATGCCATGAGAGGAAGAGTGGAGGCGGAACTGGATCGTCTCCTTGCCCAAGAGATCATTGAACCAGTAAAACATGCAGAGTGGGCGGCGCCTGTTGTTCCTGTGTTAAAACCAGATGAGACAGTAAGACTGTGCGGAGACTACAAACTGACAGTAAATCAAATATCCAAGTTGGAGCAGTACCCAATTCCCAGAATTGAGGACCTGTTCGCTACGCTGGCGGGTGGACAAAAGTTCACAAAGTTGGATCTGAGTCACGCCTATCACCAGATTCCACTGGATGAGGAAGCAAAGAGGTATGTGACCATAAACACGCACAAGGGATTGTTCACATACAAAGTACTACCTTTTGGGGTATCATCCAGCCCAGCGATATTCCAACGGATAATGGAGGGATTGCTGCAGGGCATTCCCCAGGTGGCAATTTTCCTGGATGACATCCTGCTCACAGGGAAAGATGACCAAGATCACCTGCGGACGCTGGCCATGGTGTTGGAACAGCTGGAGGAGGCTGGTCTACGTCTCAAAAGAGAAAAATGTTTGTTTATGAATGAGGAGGTGATGTTCCTGGGTCATAAAGTGGATGCAACCGGATTGCACCCAGTTCATGAAAAGGTGCAAGCAATCCAAGAGGCACCTACACCTTCGAATGTGACAGAGTTGAAGGCATATTTAGGACTGTTAAACTACTACAACAAGTTCCTGCCCAATCTGTCAACAATTCTTGCTCCAGTGCATAAACTGCTTCAAAAAGACAAGAGGTGGCAGTGGGGAGAAGCACAGCAAGTTGCTTTTGAAAAATCAAAGGAAATGATGCAGTCTGCACAAGTACTAGTGCATTACGACCCAGAGAAAGACATTGTGCTGTCATGTGATGCCTCACCTTATGGAGTAGGTGCGGTGCTGTCACATCACATGCCAGATGGAACTGAGAGGCCCGTAGGATTCACCTCACGAACATTGAACGCAGCGGAAAAAAACTATTCACAACTGGATAAGGAGGGACTAGCTGTGATGTTCGGAATAAAACGGTTCCATAAGTATATTTATGGACGTAAATTCACTATAGTAACAGATCACAAACCTTTGTTGTCTCTGTTCAGTGAGATGCGAGCCGTACCACAGATGGCCTCCCCTAGAATCCAAAGGTGGGCAGTAACATTGAGAGCCTATGAATACACAATAGTGTATAAGGAAGGAAAAAATCACTGTAATGCTGATGCCCTAAGCCGCCTTCCTTTGCCCGTGAAAGCAGAAGTAGAGAGACGGGAAGAGACAGTACTCATGCTGGAGAGCGCTGACATAACATTGGTGACATCTGATCAAGTAAAAGAATGGACGGACAGAGACCCGGTGCTCTCGAGGGTGCGGGAGATGGTGCGAAATGGATGGACATCAAAGCGGGAAGGGGAGGAGTTTGCCCCCTACGAAGTAAGGAAGCATGAACTCAGTAAACAGAACGAGTGTGTGTTGTGGGGCTCGAGGGTGATTGTGCCGAAACCAGGTCAAGAACAGGTTATGAGGCAGCTTCATCAGTGCCACCCAGGAGTGTCCAGAATGAAGGCATTGGCTAGGAGCTATGTATGGTGGCCCGGGTTGGACAAAAATGTGGAGGACACTGTAAAGAGCTGTACCACATGCCAAGAGCACCGCAACATTCCTGCACCCGCTCCATTGCATCCATGGGATTGGCCTGATAGGCCTTGGAGCCGCATACATGTGGATTATGCAGGACCGTTTATGGAGAAAATGTTTTTTGTGCTGGTTGACGCCTATTCAAAGTGGATGGATGTGTATCCAGTAAGCTCCGCTACTTCAGCCACTACAATTGAGTGCCTGCGAACCAGTTTTAGTAACCATGGTTTGCCTGAGTTGTTGGTATCGGATAATGGCACTTGTTTCACAAGCATGGAATTCAAGGACTTCCTGAACAAAAATGGCATTCGCCATGTAACCTCTGCTCCTTATCATGCAGCGAGTAATGGGTTAGCAGAGAGAGGTGTACAAACATTCAAGAGAATGATGAAGAAATGTCCAGAGGGCACCCTGACAACCAAAGTAGCCAGAGTGTTATTTAGCTACAGGGTTACTCCTCACACTACAACTGGTTTATCTCCAGCAGAGTTACTTCTTGGGAGGAAACTATGTTGTACATTAGATTCCATTCATCCAGATCTGAGCAAAAGAGTGAGAGGGAACCAAGAAAGACAGATGAAAGATCACAATAAAAAAGCGAAGGGACGTTGGTTCAAAACAGGAGACTCAGTGTTGACCCAGAACTTTAGTTTAGGCCCAAAGTGGATCCCAGGAATCATTGAGTCGGTGACTGGACCGGTGTCCTACAAAGTGATGCTTGGGGATGGGAGGATAGTGAGGAGACATGTGGATCAGATTCACACTCACTACCCGAAACCAGAAAAATGCAACAGCAACCAACCGGTTGACCCTGTTAATTCTAGTGGGTCTGAAGGAAAAAATGAAGAATGGCTGGAAGCTGAGGAGGTCGTTCTCGGTGGAGAGAAGTTGGAGGAGCCAACGGCTGTGGAAGCTGTGAAAAAACCAGAGACTGAACAAGGAACTGAAAAGAGTGTAACTCCAGTTAAGAGACAATCGAAAAGGCAAATAAGGTTGCCTAGTTACCTTAAAGATTTCCAGTTAGCTAAATGAAAGATAAGCTTGTTAGTGGAACAGTTAAAGTTTGGTTGTTAATGCTTAAGAGGGGAGGGATGTAGTAACTGTGGAGTTTAAGTGTAATACATACATGCCCACTAGGAAGCGCTGTTACTTGTTGGTATTGTTATGGACCGTAGAAGAAGAGTGCGGTCAGTAGAAAAGAGAGTAGAAAAGAAAAGTCCGTGTGAAGCTGTATGCTGTTCATGTTATAAAAATAAACCACCTTCCTGTGGAATAAGAAGTCTCTTGTAATTTACCACAAAAGGACAAAGAGATGGGAGTTGGTGATGAAGTAGTGGTAGGAGGGGAAATAAAAGGGAAAAACGTGGTGGACATTGGAGCGTCCTTGAACTCTTCTCAGAGTTCATGTATCCATGTTAGGCTCTGCTAGGGACGTGGTAATGAGCAGTCACATAGTGTGAGTGTTCTTGAGAAACTAGGCCACATGGGGTTGGGGTAGCTCGCACTTAACCAACCCCAATGAAGTGCAGTGATCATTGACAGCTTGTCCTCCCAGTCTCTGGGCCAAGGTGAGTCACAATGCAGTGGAAAAAAAGAAAGAACTTCTGGAAATATAGTAAGAAAAGTCAGAGAATCAAAAGAAACGCACAGCCAAAAGTTTCTATATGTGCTTCTCTCTGTGTCTCCATTTCTGTGAATACAGCCTCTTTGTTGTATAAAATATGAGATGGGTGTTTGGAATGGCTTCATTTCTTTTCTTCTTCTGTCACACCAGAGATTTGAATTCATGACATGGATTCTCATAATGGGTTGCAAGACACATGCAAAATGAATAGCAGCAAAAAAAAAAAAAATAAAGAAAAAATAAAGACAGACAGGGTAAAAAGTAAACTCATTTTCAATGGGGAACTACACTTGTAATTAAATTTCAAGCTAAAAGTCATGTTCATTGTGCACTCTAATTTGCATCCAACTTAAATATGCATGAAATTATTTTTGCATGAGCAGGCACAGTATCTCCACGTGACACAGTTCAACTGAGAGAAGAAGAGGGGGTGGTGGGAGTAAGATTTACCAATTAGTTTTGATGAGAGCTATCAGAAGGGCTCTGTGATCTTCTTTCTTACAAATCTCTACTCATTCTTTTGTCCATTGTGAGTTCAAGCTACTGCATTAGGTTTGTTCCTTTAGGGCTTCATGCATTTTCATGTAATCATAATTGGCTCTGTGGATGAACATCAAGGGCTGAGTTATGGAGAGACGCCGAAACAATGCAGGCTTCAAAGTAACGACCTGATATATATCATGTTGATCACTCATTGCTGATGGGGTTCTGGTTCTGAATAACTATTCTATGGTTGCAAAGAAACTTGCATTGATCAAGGTGGCATCAGCAACTATTTAAGATGTTATTTTAAAAGATTCAAGCAGATCTAAGTGCTAGAATTGTGCAGTAGGTGAAGGAAATTTATTTCTTCTGTAATAATTATGATTACTTCTCCTTCCATAGTAGCTGCTACACAGTGCTGCAGTTTGTCGTGCACCAAGAAGGCGCTGGATTTGATACCTGACTGAGGATCTTTTTGCATGGAGTTTGGATGTTCTCCATGTGGATGTTTGGGTTCTCCAGCTTACTCCCACAGTCCAAAAGTATGAGTGTTATACCCCTTTCCCCACTGGCAAAAACCCGGTTGAACCCAGGAGCTATTATCTTTTAGTGGCAGTGGGAAAAGTTAACTGACGCGTGTCAGCAAGTGACTAACGTTAATATTGCCTCTGCTCTGAACGGCATGCTGTGGGAACACCAGAATTGGGTTGACCCGATAAATTACCTGATACCTTGAACGCAACATACGGACATCAACACACCACGCCAGTCACTTCTGATCTAACAAGCAGAATCAAATCTGTTTACATTCGATAAACATGGAGCAGCTCTGGTGAGAGGGATTCAGAGAGAAACAATAAAGCACACTGAATACGCTCTGGCTTCCTTCCATGTTACTCTTCATAGTTTACTTTGTTGTTTTCTGTGGCACTGGTGACATCATCAACACTAAGTCAGCGCTATGGTGTCACTAAACACGCAGGCGCGGGGGGACACAGGCCAGCAGCTGCCACCAAGGGTTAGGCTCAGTTTTTTTGGCCAGTGGGAAAGAGAACCAAATGCTGATTGTTAGCGGGTCCAACCATGTTTGAAAAACATGCTTTAACTGGATATTTTCAGTGGGAAAGAGGCTTTAGGTGATTTTCTCAAAATTGTTCTTAGGTGTGAGTTTGTGTTTGTGTGTCTCTGTCTCTATCCAGGGTGGACTCCCACCTTTCAACATAAAATGCTGGAGATAGGCACCAGCTCCACCGCTACCCTTACAGAAACATGGGAGAAGGTAGATTGATTGTTTTGTTTTTGATAGAAATGAAGAAAAGAAGATGACAACAGCTCCTGTGGAAGATTGTCCAACCTAAATTACCTCAGTAAGAACTATCACTGCTGAACCTTCTTTTGAACAAAGTTCTATGAGTAAGGAACAATTTTGATCACTATAGACGGCACTTCCTACATCCCACACTGCAAAAACGATTTATAAATAAGTAAAAAAAATTGTGTTAATATATTTAGCCTTAATTTGAGCTGGTAAATAGGAATATTTTTGAATGGAATCAATTGTTCTACTATTAAAATAAGATAGCATAAGATACACTAAAAATAAGACAAAGCAATTTTTTTTTCTTATTTTAACTGTAATTTGTCTTGTTCCATTGGCAAAATGTCTCACTTATCTTCTCAATTCAAGAAAAATGCACTTATTTAAGAAAAAATGACTTATTGAGATCTCATTTTTTTTGCAGTGCAGAAATGAAGATTGGAAAAAAGGAGAAGTATTCTTAGAGCGGGCTCAACTCTGAAAGAGTCTGCATATCCAGTCTCAGAGGAAGAGGCCCACAAAAAAACGACACATCTATCTTGAACAACCTTGCGATTAAGAGGGATGTTCAGTTTCATTTAGCGTTGTGTTTCATCCAATCCAATGCAATGGTTTATTGAATCTCATTTCATCTAAAACAACAGTAAATACATATTACAATATCTACAATATTAAATTAATGGAAATATTTAAGGAACATTAATACATAAAATAACATTAATTGTCATGGTTTCCTTCAGAGCTGTTTTATTTTCTGTAGGTAAATCAATCTGATATAAAAGCCATGCTAATGGTTGTTTAGAGATAAAATTTGAGGCCTCCACAAGAAGTTCAGACTAATGTTGTGTCAGGCAGCCCGGGCCACAGGCGGCTAGCTCTACCCCTTCTATTCGTTCGTCTTGCTAATTTGAATCGTTCAATTCCATTTCAAGAGTGAGATCATCTGTGGTAGTAGCACTAGACATCTTCCAGGCATGTGAGGAAAACTAGCAGCAGTTCAGCGGACAGGAAGAATGAATGGTAGCCGGCATGCGCAGATGACGCCGTTTTGTTTTCAAAGGATATTTATATAAATAATATAACGGCGGATGTCTGGGGGACAGTGATTCTCCTACATGTTCTGAATGCTGGCGTACCATAAATGATAAATTTTGAAAAGTTTAGTTTGTGCCTTCAACTCATTCCCCAAAGGAAGACATTACTTGGATATAACAAAACCGAATTTCTTCAGAACAGTATATAAAATAAAATCAAGAGGCCAATGTAAAAACAAATGGTATTCCCCTTAAAGCATATTTGGTGAGCTTTCTCATTTGAAACTATTTTTTTCCATCCTGAAGTGCTATTCTAGGCTGTGTGACAAGTAAAAGAATTTTGCATCTTTTGTAAGATAAATAAAGATTTGTTCTAAAATGTTGAGTGATTTGGACCATGTTATAAGCCAGTTGAGCAACTTACAACTGTGCATTGCACGGTTTTGAAGCACTTTGTGCTGGGAGGAACACTCCGCTTTTTCTGTTTTTCTAGGTCCTGCAATGTGCATTAAAACCATGTAATGCAGTTCCTTTATTGTTTCTACTGTGTCCTTGGGTTTATTTGAAACATTCAACTAAAACTTTTAATTGAAATCTCTGCTGTTTGATTCTTTTTTTCTTTTTCCATGTTGAAATAAATCAGAAAATTGTGATTCATTCAGATTGCTTAAAGATTTGAGATGTAAACTAATACAGGGACAAGTTTACCATTCAACTTTGTGTGATCTAAAAAAAAGGAATAAAAAAACACATTTTAAAAAAATCATTAAAACATTTTGAATTTTTCTTCCCAGGATTCTGTTAAAATGTCAGCTTACATGTTAATTTGTGTTTAAGGGCTTAATTTTAATGGGCTTCAAACTGTGTTTTTATACACTTTTACCTCCTTATTTGCACATACATAAGAAAAACACATAGACTCAGACTTGCTAGATGGCAGTTAAAAAACTGCGCCCGACCAGATATAATGAGTATCTAGGTTCAGAAAATACTCCCAAAATACCACCTAGAAGTAAGAAAACATTTCTTAAATTAAGGTGTCTACACTTAATTTAGGTAGGTAATTAAAAAGACTTCATAATGAAATTAGTATTTTTTATCTTAAAATAAAATAATAATATTATATGCACTCAAAATAAGACAATGTAATTGTTATTTTCTTATTTTAAATGTAATTGTCTTGCTCCATTGTCAAAGTGTCTCACCTCCTCAATTCAAGAACAAATGCACTTATTTTATGAAAAAGTGAATTATTCACATTTTATTTTTTTAGAGTGCATAAAATAATTGCAAAGAAAATCAATCAAATTGATTCACACAAAAAGTCTGAGTGAAAAGTGGATTCCAGTTGTATATATTACTATTTGTCAAAAGTGTTGGATTTCATTCTGTCACAAAATCCTAGTGCTTGTAAAGCAAGTGCTTGTATTACATAAGCAAAAAAAAAAAAAATATATATATATATTTCAAAGTAAAACAAGCCTATAATTAAGGAACATTAAACTGTTTTTAGTGTCCTTTTTGATGCCTTTTCTTTTTGATTCTCAAATAAGGCAATACATTTTAATTAAAATATTTAACTGAATGGTGGAAAAACATAGAAGATACAAAAGACTAATAGAATATGTAGAAATGAGGCCGAATAAACGATAGAATGTGTAAATTGTAAAAAGAGAGGTCAATTAAAGGATTATGCTGTGACTTCACAGCACATTAATGTGAAGTCACAGTCAAGACACAGCAGACTGCAAGAAACAACGCTTCCCTTTAATTTAAACACATGCAAGTGGACAGCTCACAGTTACATAGAATCTGTCAGTGAGCTCTGACTGGGGTGGCTCAAAGAAGTTACAAAACATTGAGAGAAACCTTTTTGCACAACACAATGGTTACCACAGAACTGACCTCTTGAGGTGTTTCATAGTAACTTTTCTTTTTTTTTTTTTTTTTTTTACCACTAATTGCTCTTGCTTGTTACTGTTTAAACAACACCTATTTCAAACTGACTGGTCCCAGCTTCTGCTCAGATGTTTATCCTGTTAAGAAACTCTGCTAAGTTTCTGCCAGGTCATCTTACACCATTGTAACCTTCAACAAATATAATGCCTGCTTAAACAGAAATATATAAGTTGAACACACAATTTTAACGTCACTGTGCTCTGATAGATTTTGAACAATTCTTCACAGGCAGCAACACACTGAATGAACAGCATATCTTTGTGAGGGCTCCAGGTTGGAAAAATAACTAAATTATGCTTTCTGTTCACTAAATGGTCCGCTCTCTTTCTATTAGCATCACACTTAAACTCAGTGCACTTTGAGGACAATAGCATGAAAGCATTCTGCTGCATATTTAACACAGTGGGACCTGAAGTGGAAGGATTGCACTTTGTAAATAAATAAACAACAGCAGTGTTTTGTGTGTGTAGCTATGTTTTTGTTACCTTTTGGGGATGATTTCCCAGGAATATGCTACATTTTGGGGACTTATAGATACTTGTGAGGACCAGAGATGGCAAAAGTACTCACTTTCCGTACTTGAGTAAAAGTACAGATACTTGTGTTAAAAAATACTCTGGTAAAAGTGGAAGTACTGATTAAACTTCTTTACTCAAGTAAAAGTAACAAAGTACAGGCTTGTAAATTTACTTAAAGTATAAAAGTAAAAGTAGAAACCACTTTTTTCATGCCGTTGCCTACATTTTAAATGGATGCCTGCCAATAGGACTAGATCTCCGTTGTGTTCATTTTCAATCATCTCGTCGTCCATGCTACTATGCTAACGCCACCGCCACCAAGCTGCAATGATTTGCCGCGAATGAATACCGCCGAATCTGTCCATTCATCTTGTAGCGGTGCGTCAAATGCAACGTAGATTCCCATCCAATTAGATTGAATTTGGTATTGATGACGGGAAAAATAATAACGGTAACTCCATTGAAATGATTCAAAACTAAAGTAACGAGTCAATTTTTTTAAATGTAAGGAGTAGAAAGTACAGATATTTGTGTAAAAATGTAAGGAGTAGAAGTAAAAAGTCGCCATAAAAATAAGTAGTAAAGTAAAGTAAAAATATCAGAAAAATCTACTTGAGTACAGTAACGAAGTATTTGTACTTCGTTACTTCCCATCTCTGGTGAGGACCAACGATTGGTTCAAAAGAGGAAAGGTTCTCTTCTCCGGGTGGGGGTTAGGTTTAGGACTTGGGGGTGAGTTGAGTGTAGTTTAGGTTTAGGGTTAGGTATGTGTTGGAAATTGTTAAGTGAAGCACACTCTCTTGATGACTCCCAGAACACAGTCAAATGACTAAAAAAACCAAAGGCAATGCACGGACCAATGCACGTTCATTGGAATCTCCCGTTTTCATAACTGAACAAGGTGTATGTGCTGGCTTCTAATCACTGTTCATCTGATCCACCTGCTCCTGCCTCTATTTAAGGTACTTGCTCCGAGTCAGCTGGGCGAGATCATTTTGTTCTCTCTAGCCAGTGGTGAGAGTATTTTTAGCATTACCTTATTGTTTCTGATTACTTCATCTTACATGGTCTGCCTCTTAATCACTGAACCTACCTGTTCCTGTCTGAATGGTTTGCCTGAGCTGTCTTTGGATTCATGGACCTCCGAGCCTGCCTGTTCCTGTTCTTATCTGCTTGCATGACGTGGCTTGGGACTAGCTCGTTCTCTGGGCATGGACTGAACCTGTAAACCGGGTTATTGACTCACATGGATAATCATCCTCAGTCAGATTGTCATGGTCACTAACCTGTGTTTCTATCCTGCAGAGGTTCCAACATTACTGTAGATACCCTAACAACTGCTACATGCAGGTTTTAAATAAATACTTTTTGAGTAATCCCACTGTCTGTCTCGCCAGTATACTGGGTCCTCTGTTCTTGTTTCTGACCTTAGAGTTAGGGATAAGCCATCATGGTAATAATATGTACAGTGGTAGCCATTTAAAATGCCCAATGGCAGCCAACTTCCAGCCACTGGAGTGACCCCCTCCTTCTCCTGTGCATGCACATTTTTTTTACTCAGACTCCACCCTTTCACTGAAATACAGGGTCTGACCAGGAGATTACGCTTCTCTTTTGATCTTAATGTCCACAAATCAGGACAGAAACTATATTTGGGGGACCAACCAAGGGCCAGCCAAGGGCCCATCAAGGAAAGTGGGGACATTTTGAATAGCTGTATATTAAATAGGTTTAGGCAAGAGGTCCGAAGACCTTACATTTTGGAATAAACCATCTAGGTAAGTTATTAAGTATCTTGTATATTAAATTGGGTTCCAAAGAATTTAGGGTTTGGAATAAAACTATCATGATAAGTAATTAAGTATTAGGTCTGGCAAGAAGTCAAACAATTTTAGGGTTAGGAATGAAACATGTTGGTATGTTATTAAATGCCATATATATTAAATTGTGTTCCAATGAACTTGTTAGGGTTAGGGTAAGGGTCTGGTTTAGGCCATAGAAGTGAGTGGGAAATGAAAGGAAGTTAATGGAATGTCCCCTCAAGGATAGTGTGACATTATGGGCTTGTGTGTTTTTTGTACACGTGTGGGGACTACAACAGGGATTATCCATTACTAAATGTGTAAAATTGCTTCTTTCCTCAAAGTTGCATTATTTAAAAGCCATCTGTGGGCTGCTGTAACATGTTCTGCTCCAATTCAGCTAAAATGCTTTACATCATTCACCACAAAGGATACCTGATTTTTCCTGAGACAAAGCAACAGAGAAGGAGGAAGTATCCGACTCCATTTTGAAAGACGCTTGTTGGAACAAATCACAATTCCAAGTTTATGGCCCAACAAAGGTTCTCTCTCTCTCTCTCTCTCTCTCTCTCTCTCTCTCTCTCTCTCTCTCTCTCTCTCTCTCTCTCACACATTCCTATTACACACTTAGCATTTTAATGAGGACTTAGCCTGCATACTACGTGCACATTAAGCTTGCGCTGCAGGGGTGAGTGCAGTGATACATCACGGTCAAAGTGAAAAAGCTGTTTTGAAATTTTAAATACGAACAAAAGCTTTTTTTTTCATGCTCATGGGTGAATATGAGGCTGGAGGGAGGAGGACACGGCATAGCTGCTCTGATGTTTTAAAGGAGGTTATCTGGAGAGATTTGGGGAGGCTGAAATTAGGAGTGAATGCTGGAGTTGAGGGAGCATGCTTTAAAGGGATAACAGCAGGGGTGGAGAAGTGGGAAGTGTTAGATTTTAGGCTTCCTCAACAGAGTACCATGAAGGTGATTTCCACTGAAGTGTTTGGCACATAGTGGTATGGATAAAAATAAATTAAAAAAGAAAATGTGTTGCCTAATGCAATGCAATGTGTTGCCTAAGGGCTTATTGAAGATATGTACAGTTAGCTATATGACAACATTCACTTTATTCTGTCCATCATATTTTTGTAGTTCTATTTACTAAACATGCTGTTATTTTAAACCAAGTGGGGAAAAATATTGACTGTGTTTAATTTGTATTCAATTTGATTGCAATACTTTTGTGCTACAAAGATCAATAAATAAGTACAACGTTCTTACATTAAATGAATTTACCATTCATTTGAGCAGGTAAATAAGATGATTTGCCAATGGATTGAGTATTATTTCTCTTAAAATAATATAATTAGATAATATGCACTTGAAATAAGACAATGTAATTCTTTTTTCTGACATGGACTATAAATGGTCTTGTTCCATTGGCAAAGTGTCTCATTTACCTCCTCAATACAAGAACAAATGTCATGATTCTGCCCTTCTCTAACTTTAGTCCACACCCACCTGCTGTGTCTGCCCCACTCCGGTCAGTTTAATATATAACGTTGAGACCGGACTGTCTGCTCCCATTTTTTCAGCGACTGACGAGCACTAAGAACAAGATCTCCAGCAACAACAGCATCCTTCTGTGTCTTTCCTGCCAGAAGGGCATGGGGTTTGACCTCTATGCCGTCTGCGCGCACTGCCTCGGTCCATGGCATGCAGGCCTCGCTCTCACGCCTCAATCGTCCTACTCCCTATGTGAGCTCCTCCTGCTTAAGGACAAGCAATGGAGAGTAGGGAGGCTTTTTGTGCAGCAGACAGCTACCTGCTGGACAAAGTGATTGTGTTTTTTAACGCTGGGAGGGAATCAGACAATTCTCGCCCCAGCGATGATGGCAGTAGCAGCCCGCTCCTGCCTCTCAGCTGGGAAGCATGGTAGCAGAGGAGGAGCAGTTGGGCGAAGACTACCACCCTGCTCCCAGCTGTTGGCGCGCTGCCAACGATTATCCAGAATGCCCTGAAGCGTTATGGTTTGGCTGTGCCGTTGCCCCAAACCCTGCCACAATCAGACGTTCTGGCAGAATGGCTCGGTTCGGCTCTTGTCTGTTACCCAGACCTGATCTGGCCTCTGCACCCTGCTGTCATAGCATACCTGTCAGATTCAGCTGCTGATGCCGCCATGTTAAAGGTGCGGGTGTCTGCCTTTAACTGTGGTGGAAGTGTTGTCCGAGCAGGGCTTTCCACCTGTTCCTCCTCTGGAGGCCCGCTTCACCTCCGTGTTTGGGGCAAAGACGAATGGTCTCACTGGACAGTGACCTGTCCCCCCAGCAAACACAATCATCTGACTGTGGGGTTTTCTGATCATTATCATTGCTGTCATCACAGTAGCCTGCCTTGAAGCGAGTTGATCTCCACACTACCCCTCAGCACGGCCTTTCTACCCCTCAAAACCCTGAGGCGGGTCCACAGGTTAAAACAAGGCCGTAGGTTTGATTTGAACTTTGGTAGGGACTCTATTGGTCTGGTGTCATTGGTGCTATGCAATATGCATGCCCTTTTTTTCATGCTTGACGTGAGCATCCGTACTGATAAGAGAAATTCATTGTTTAAAGAGAAAAGCAGCATTTTGCTACATTAATAAAAAAATTATGAGCACTACACTCATTAGATGCTATTTATCAATGTTTGAAGTATCACCGGCTCTGATGAATGTGGAATTAGGACTGTTTTCCACTTTGAGAATTGTTTCATTTGAACGACTGAGACAGAAGGTAAATACAGTATTTTCTTTTGAAGATATAGAATTGTGCAGAGTGAAACCCAACCCTTATATTTTTATCTACAATGCTTCATCTACAAGCTGCCCTGCATCATTATTACTGGATATCTATGTTTCCTATAATCATATAATGTATAAGTGTGTTTTTATTAGTAAAGGATTAAATGTAACACAACCTTTTATCGTCATCCAATATTTCTTACTGTCTGAGTGTTTAAATAGCTCATTATGTCTATTTTCTTTTTTAGTGGCATCATCTACAAACACAACACACAACACGGTCTCTTCCTGCTCTAAACTACTCACACCTGCAGCTGGTCATCACCCTCTGAGGAGTATATGAGTAGCAGACTGTCACCATCTCCTCGCCAGAGGGTTTGCCAGTATTGGGTACTCTTGCCCCTCTGAGTTTTGCTGAGTCAATACTTTGAGTTTTAGTTTTTTTCTGAGACCTCAAGTTCTTACCTAGTTATTCTCTGTGAATCTTTGGCAGGATTCCTATAGATCCAGTGAAAAAAGCTGGTCCTTCAAGCCCTGGAAGGAATTCTCTCATCTAAGAAAGAAACGTTTCACCTTATCAGAACGCCACCAACTTTAGGAAAACTAGTGAAAGTCTCCTCCGCTGCTCCTTAGGACCACCAAAAGTCTGCCAGTCCGCCCTCCAGCTAAGTAAACCCTTAAAACAGTTCAAGCCTCCACAAACAGGAACACTGGAGCAACCTCAAAACCACAACAGTGAGTCTTCGCCAGTCTATAATGAAGTAATTGGCCTGTTTTCCCATCAACCTTGAACTCACCATTTGTGATCTCTTCCTAGAGCTTCCGCTTCTGGTTTATCAGACTGCTCGATTCCCCCAAGCTGAGAAACCAGTTGTTTAGTCACTTTGTTCACCTTTGTTCTAATGAACTGTTAAACTTCTTTCTGACTCTGTGAGTGCTTCTGCATGTGGGCAAAACATGTAAGATTCATCATAAAAGGCAATATAACACTAATTTATCTGTAATGTAATAATATCCAAAATAAACAGCCAGATTCAAGCATTATTTACCAGACATTAATGTTTGTACTAATTTACTTATAGACTGTGAGGAAATCTATTTAAGATAAAATCAATGTTAATAGTGTTCCTTTGTTTGTTCTTGTATTCATCCCGTTTCTAGAAGTAGAAATAGTCAATTAAATAGTAGGCCTACTGTAATTTTCTGGAACTCTAATTATGCCTTTTAAACAAAAAATAGCAGATGTTTAGGCACCATCTCTTGTTGTTATACTCTATAAGAGAAATAACACCTGATAATAATTATACCTGAACTTCCTCAAAGAGTCATTAAAAAATTAAAACAGTAATACCAACTAAATTTCCGTAAAAAGGAAACCCTCACATTTTCGTTTTTTGGTCGGCTTGGCTAAGAATCAGAAATGTTGACAGCTTACAGCCTTTATTTGCCCATTTTTCCAGTAGTCTTCAGAACTCCTCGCTGACTCAGAATATTTACTTTTATAAAAGAAAAAAAAAGGTTTTTGTTTCTTAGCGTACATGATATTCAGTTTTTTTTATTGGGAGTAGTTTCATAGCCTCATAATAATTGTAGTAACCGCGGTATTCTAGCATGAATGTATGGCAGAACAACCAATGAGAGTGGAGTTAAACAGCGAAGCACAGTTATGTACGCTGCCACATTAAAGGGACAGGAGAGACTAGGCAGCCCTCAGACGGAGCAGCAGCAGCAGCTACTGGGCAGAAGAGCTGCAAGAAGAAAATAAGCAACAGAAAAAAGAGCGTCTGGTCTGGCATGTGGACAGACCTTTAAGCAGAGGTTACAGGCTGCAGTTCCTGTTCCCCACATTCAGCAGAATGACTAATTCACCTTATAGATCTGAAGGACGCCTACGTCCATGTTCCCATCATCCCAAAACACAGCAAGTATCTGCGATTCTCCTTCCAGGGAATTCCCTATCAGTACAGAACTGGACTTTTCCATAAACTGGGGGAAAAAAAGTTCTGTTCTCCCATCCCAGCTGATTGTCTGATTCATCTGGGGGTGGAGCTAATCTCCGCGACAATGAGAGCTCGACTCTCACAAACTAAGAGCAGACTCGCTGTCAGCACTGCTGCTCAAAACTCCCAACACAGTGACAGCTCTGTCCATCTTACGGCTGCTGGGGATGATGTCAGTCGCCCACATAGTGGTTCTGCTGGGTGTGCTTCAGGTGATTGCAGTCCCTCAGTCAGTGGGAGCCGACCTGGCCCACTGGGGACCCCCCCACATTTTGTCAGATGGAATGCCCCTCAGCAGACCTATGTCCCAAATCCTGGTGCTCACAGATGCAGGGAGGAACGTATCAGGCAGGGTGTGTCTGTTTCAGGTATTGGGAGAGTGGTCAAACCACATGTCTCTCCACATAAATTTGCTGAAGCTCCTCGTGGTGCTGAAGATGACTCAGCATTTTCTTCCTCTGCTGGGGAATTAGCATGTTCTGATCCACATCGACAACAAATTGGCAGCAGCATCGCACACTCAGCTTAGCTTCTGAACGTCACCAGATGGCTGCTGTGCTGTGCATTCATGAATCTGCTCTCCATCAGAGCATTTTACATCCCCGGTGTCTTGCACAGAGGAGCAGACATCATGTCCAGAGGGGATCCTGATCTCTCAGATCTGAAGCAGGTTCAGTGGGCCAGTGGTGGACCACATGAGAGAATGCATAATGTCCGCTGTGGTTCTCCCTGAACCCAAAAAAGGATCCACTTTTAGGAGTGGACGCCTTTGCCCATCCATAACCCAATAAAGTCCCTTATGCTTTCCCTCCGGTCCTGCTAATTGCGGCTCCTTTTGGCTTCAGGTAGTAGCCCTCATTCGCACAGGTGCTCTGTGGTTCCTCCTCCTGCAGCAGTTGCTGTCAGGCCACCCGTGGTGGCTGCCGTAGAGGGAGAATGCACTCCTCCTGGCAGAAGGAGCGATCATAAGTTATCCAGAAATAGGCTAGTGTCTCTGGGCCTGGCTGCTGAATGGTAGGGCTTAGAGAGGCTTGGCCTTTCGCAAGAATTCATACACACCATTCAGCGCGCATGGCCTCCCTCTACAACAGCGCTATATGTGTCAAAATGGAAAGTGAAAGTATTTGAGCACTGGTGGGCGGAGAAAGGCGTGGATCTCATTTCAAGTATTGTCTGTAGTGTAGGATTTCTCAGGTATGGTTCTGTAATTCCAAAGCATTGATATGGTGTCATTACTGTAGACCAGCCATCTAAAAACACAATTAACTTAACTTGAAATACAAACCTAGGAGGAAGCCATGGACTCCACGCATCGAGCAAGGAGCTCTATGCATGAAATCCAAAGATGGTTAAGGCAACAGATCAGATGGGGACAGACAGGACCAGTGGGAGAGATTCAGAAAATTAGACAACACCTTGAAACACTCTCACTACTGGCTATGGAAGAAGTTCGCCTGAAGACATTGGCTCGAGAACAATCTCCTCACTGGAATTGGGAGATGAACATAAGAATAAACCTAACTAACAAAACAAACAAACTAACGGCATAAAGGAACAAACAATGATCTGGCCCCCATAGCTAGGCTAAACTGAATATAGAGCAGAACGTTCAGGTGGATGAGATCTGCAGTGATTAGGAACCGGGTAAAGTTTGGCAGGTAAGCGACATGAGCAATTAAGATTAGCTATCAGGGCAGATCATTTCTGCATTTAGGTCCTCAACTAACTTCCACCAAACCTGAAAACAGATGCAGTTATTTTAAGAAAAAAATTACATATTTACGTTTTAATTTCTTTCAGTGTAAGAATCACAGAGCTCAAGATTTTGAGAGAGTTTTCATGTAGACACATAATTACAATATGAAATTCTTCAACAATATTTTTCTGTTCTTCCTACTGATAAAATAGAGGCAGTGTACAAACAGCAGGGGCCACACAAAAGCAAACAACATAAACCAACCATAAACACACTCTCTTCTAATACTGTGTTCACACTGGATAGAAATGTTGCAAACTTTGCCATTTTCCTTTTCTTTCACACAAACAAATTCCCTTGAAATTTCGCACAAATACTTCACTGCGTCATTAGGTGGGAAAGGTGTCTATCTACTTGTCCATTTAATTCACGATGGCGAACCTCGATTTTACAATCTTCCTCATTGGACTGGAAATCAATAGTAAACCCATGTTCTGGTCAGCAGATAAGCAGCTGAAAACACAGAAAAGACAGGGATTTTCCATGCATCCAAGAATAAAGAATGATTTGTCAATGTAAACCATTATGAACACACATGGAACTGTTTATCAATCAAAGTTCATCTTCTGCCTATTGGTCTATGAAATGGGCAGACAGTAGTTTCAAGAAACAAAGTACAAAAACCCTTATATTTTAGCAATCCCAAATCTGATTTATCAACTTCTGTCTTTATTTCCATTTAATAAAAGAAATTAAAGACTTTTTGAAAAGTGCTTTTATTTCCAGCCTTTCAGTTAGAAGTTGAAGTTGACCTTAAAGTGCAACAGAAACTAAAATATG